TCTGTAACCTACTTGTTCTACAGATCTGTGTGTACTGGTGTTAAATGCTACTGTTTTTGACAGCGTTGATAACGTTTATGACAGATAATATCATGATAATTTTTGCGTTTCCCTTACCGAATGTCGTATCCTGTCAGCAAAAACCTGTCCATGGGCTTTTTTGATTGCTTTCAGTTTAAGTGAAGTTCATAACAGGGACGCTAAACATTCTTGCAAACGGTCTAAACTGAATTATACATGTCATGCAGGCATTCATATGAGGAGTTTAACAGGAAATTAGTCATTCATAGAACAAATTTTATTTTTGAACATGAAAAATTTACCGAGCTCCGGACCTCGGTGGCCTCATAGCTGGTTACGGGCCAGTATTACAACATCAATATTGTAACTTATTTTTATAAATTTGAATTTTTAATTTAGTGCAGTATTTTGTCATTGCAACATTTTAGTGCAATTTTCACTAACAACTGCAATTGGATTTATATTGTAGACCTAAGTTCATTGTTATCCCACCAGTCACTATTGTGACCATCAAGATGTTTACTCATTCTATGACCACACTCAATAAAACTGAATATATGTGAATTCATATATTAATACTAGACACCTTAAAGATAATGTGTACCAAAAATCTTTGTCATATCTTTGTTAACATACTTTACTAGCCTTTCATTTCGGAGCTTTGATGCAGCCATCATCTACTCAAGGTGCAAACAGGAAGTAAACTGCTCTGGTCATGTGACAATATGCACTAATCATGTGAAACTGCATATATTTAATTGAGACCCTTTATTTTTCCTTATTTGCAGGAAGTGCACTAAAACTTCAGTCAGTAAGGTTTTTAGAGCTTTACAAATGAAAAACTTTTTTACGGTCACGGTGGGATTAAATGGGTTAAGCTCTTTTATTTTACAAATGTAATAGGGTTCGGTTTGTAATGCGTACCGAACCAAAAGCCTCGGACCGAACGGTTCAATATGAATACGTGTATCGTTACACCCCTAGATTTAAATATAAGACAATTTTATTATTTTTTTTTTGTTGCCTCATATCTTGAAATTTGGGGCCATATAATTGCATTCTAGTAGGCTACATCACGCAGTCAGTCGTCGTCCTGCATCATGTTCATCAGCATGCAATGCAGTGAAGTACAGGTCTCGGCTGGGACGGGGCGTGTTAAATGTGTTCATCGCTTTAATGTGCTATTTTTACTTTAATCGCACCAAATTAAATAGTTCTAAAGAGAATATAGAGTGTAGTATAGTAGTAAAATTTAATATAATTAATTATTATACTGTAAATATTAAGATGGTGTGATTTAAACCCGAGTGTCTTTGTTTGGCTCAAAGGAAACTTTTCTGTATTTCGGTGCCTGTGATCTTAGTTCTGTCTCCACAGATGAGCTGCTGCTGCTATTTCTGTCTCACTTAACTGTGTGTGAAGCTGTGACTACCAAGAGCGTTTATAATTACACAAATTGTTCAGTTGCGTTGAAACTGTGCATTCTCTGTACACGCTTGTCCTTGAGTGAGATGCTCGTGCTCCACACGTCTCAGAACAGAAGAGTTCAGTCTTCATGTGCTGTTTAGCCGCTCGCAAGGCAGGTCACCGAGACATTTCATGCCATTTCTATTTTCATTAAAATTCCCTTATTTTATTGGCATAATGTGCCCAGTAATGATGCATTATCTTAGGAGGTAACATCTTTCTGTACCATAGCAGCACCCAATACTAATGGCTTAGTTTACAGGTCACCTCTAGATCTACTACTAGGATGACATCAGTCATTTAATATTTAGGAACTCTTGTAAAAGTGATAATGTCTCTTGAAGCTGAAATATTTCTGCACCTGTACATCATAGCTAACAACAACCATTGGCCAATCTCCCGTACCTTTTTGTTTTAAAATAAAGCAATAAGCCCCAAGAAGCCATGGTTTACAGTGAATTTATAACAGCTAAGGGACGTTGTTAGGGACGACGTGGCGCGGAGTCAATAAATTCACTGTAAACCACGGCTTCACGGGGATTATTGCTTTTATAAAATGGTTATTCCATATACGTAGTAAGGTTTCACAGAATAAAACGGAGCAAATAAAGTGTAATGATGTTAATATAAACTGTATTCTTTCACCAAACAATGTAGTTCCTCAGAAACAGTTGTGGTTCCAACAAATTGGTTGCCGAGCAACACACAGAAGTAAAAAAAGGTGTATGTTTGTAGTGTAATTTACAACAGCTTCGAACACGGCTCAGCCAATCAGAATCAAGGACCGGAACTCTCCGTTTTATAATGTAATGCTCATTATTTAATTGTAGCACTTTAATCTCACAATATAGTTTGTCTTTATGCAAAGCATGCATTCATACGGCATGTTTTATATAGATTTTATAATCGTTAGACTTCTCTCAGACCTGTCAAACATATTTTATTGGACTGTCCAGCTTTTAATGTATGTAGAAAACTCTTTTATGAAGTGAACAGTTCACTTAGAGTTTAGTGAAATTTTCCCAGTAATTTAGTTTTTAGAATTTTTATCATATGTTATCTTGTGTAATATAATTGTTTGCTTGTTTTTATTGTATTTGTTACACTTGTATTTTTTAAATAGTTTTTGCCATGAAAGTAGCCTAAGATGCTGACATGGCATTAAATAAATAGATACTACTACTTCTCTCAGACTGTTTTCTTAACACATACACTACCGTTCAAAAGTTTGGGATCAGTAAGACTTGTAATGTTTTTAAAAAGAAGTCTCTTCTGCTCATCAAGGCTGCATTTATTTGATCAAAAATACAGAAAAAACAGTAATCTTGCTAAATGTTGTTACAATATAAAATAATGGTTTCTATTTTAATATCCTTTCAAATATAATTTATTTCTGTGATCAAAGCTGAATTTCCATCATCATTACTCCAGTATAAAGTGTCACACGATCCTTCAGAAATCATTGTAATATGCTGATTTATTATTAGAATTATCAACAGTTGTGCTGCCAAATATTGTTTTGGAAACTGCAATACTTTTTTTCAGGATCCTTTGATGAATAAAAAGTTAAAACAACAGCTTTTATTCAAAATATAAATCTTTTCTAACAATATAAATCTTTGCTATCACTTCTTATCAATTTAACACGTCCTCACTGAATAAAAGTTTTAATTTATTTAAAAAAAAGAAAGAATACAAATTTACTGACCCCAAACTTTTGAACAGTAGTGTATATTGTTAAAGATTTCTATTTTAAATGCTCTTCTTTTTAACTTTTTACTCATCAAAGAATCCTGAAAAAGTATCAGGTTCCAAAAAAATATTAAGCAGCTCAACAGTTTCCAGCACTGATAATAAATCAGCATATTATACTGATTTCTGAAGATCATGTGAAACTGAAGACTGGAGTAATGATGCTGAAAATACAGCTTTGTTCACAGAAATCAATTACATTTGAATGTACACTTAACAAAATTATAAACGCAACACTTTTGTTTTTGCCCCCATTTTTCATGAGCTGAACTCAAAGATCTAAGACTTTTTCTATGTACACAAATGACCTATTTCTCTCAAATATTATTCACAAATCTGTCTAAATCTGTGTTAGTGAGCACTTCTCCTTTGCTGAGATAATCCATCCACCTCACAGGTGTGGCATATCAAGATGCTGATTAGACAGCATGATTATTGCACAGGTGTGCACAAACGTTATTTTACATCATAATAATATTTCACAATATTAACTTTTTCCTGTATTTTTGATCTAATAAATGCAACCTTGATGAGCAGAAGAAACTCCTGTAAAAAACATTAAAAATAGTTCTGATCCCAAACTTTTGGCCAGTAGTGTATATATATATATATATGACATTTTGTTTTATGAAATATGAAAAAAAGACACAAAACACAAAAACAGTTACAATATAAAATAATGGTTTCTATTTTAATATCCTTTCAAATATAATTTATTTCTGTGATCAAAGCTGAATTTCCATCATCATTACTCCAGTATAAAGTGTCACACGATCCTTCAGAAATCATTGTAATATGCTGATTTATTATTAGAATTATCAACAGTTGTGCTGCCAAATATTGTTTTGGAAACTGCAATACTTTTTTTCAGGATCCTTTGATGAATAAAAAGTTAAAACAACAGCTTTTATTCAAAATATAAATCTTTTCTAACAATATAAATCTTTGCTATCACTTCTTATCAATTTAACACGTCCTCACTGAATAAAAGTTTTAATTTATTTAAAAAAAAGAAAGAATACAAATTTACTGACCCCAAACTTTTGAACAGTAGTGTATATTGTTAAAGATTTCTATTTTAAATGCTCTTCTTTTTAACTTTTTACTCATCAAAGAATCCTGAAAAAGTATCAGGTTCCAAAAAAATATTAAGCAGCTCAACAGTTTCCAGCACTGATAATAAATCGGCATATTAGAATAATTTCTGAAGATCATGTGACACTGAAGGCTGGAGTAATGATGATAGAAATTCAGCTTTGATCACAGGAATAAATTAGATTTTAATGTACAAGCCCGATTCCAAAAAAGTTGGGACCTGTCCCACCTTTTTTGGAATGTGTAGCTCTCATGAAATCCAAAATGAGCCAATATTTGGCATGACATTTCAAAATGTCTCACTTTCAACATTTGATATGTTATCTATATTCTATTGTGAATAAAATATAAGTTTATGAGATTTGTAAATTATTCCATTCCTTTTTTACTCACAATTTGTACAGTGTCCCAACTTTTTTGGAATTGGGTTTGTATATTAAAATAGAAAATTTTTATTTTACATAATAATATTTCACAATATTACATTTTTCCCCTGTATTTTTGATCAAATAAATGCAGCCTTGATGAACAGAAGAAACTCCTGTAAAAAACATTAAAATCGTTCTGATTAAACTTTTGACCGGTAGTGTAGATGTTCAGAAAGAGTTAAAATCGCCCTGATTGTTCCCGATTTCTTTATTTCCCCCCTCTCTCTGTGTTTGCAGGCTTCTTGTAAGTGCTTCCCAGGATGGAAAACTAATTATCTGGGACAGCTATACTACAAACAAGGTAAATGTGAAAGCCAAATACATTTGTGAACTGATGATTAGATGTAGTGACTCGACATGTTAAATAACGTATTTGTCTGGATTCTCTCAATTAATTTAATGAGGTATGTCCTATGATGCTGTTTAAACTGTATGAACGGGGGAAGTGTTGTCACAATACCAAAATTGTAGTAGTCTGTGTGTGTGTGTGTGTGTGTGTGTGTGTGTGTGTGTGTGAGAAATATGATGCTAATAATACATTAAAACAGCATGTAGCCTTCATTTTCACTTGACCTGATTTAAAAAAAGTTTGCTGCTTTAAAAAATACTTGAAGATCAAAGAAACAATTATACGTAACAAACAAGTGGCATTTCTATTAGTTTGCACTTGATTTGATGTCAGATTTTTTTTTTGTCCTGAAGAATCAATCGTTGCCGTTTTAGGTTTTAAGTTCGAAACTTGTGTGTAGCATTAAAACTCGTATTCAAATTATAAATGCGTTACATACTCCCGCTCCCTTTATCATCACTAAAGCATCAATCACTTGAGTTCAGGGCAAGCTCACCGAGCTCTGCACTCTTGCAAAAGCCCCCGTTAATATAAAAGAAAGATTTGTAGACTCCACCATGAGTCTCATATTTAGTGTTTTTTTGCTCTAATGTTATTATTATGATTCATATTATGATCATTTCAGTTCGAAGATGCATATAAATATTGTGATCAGCTTTGTTTCATAATGCATGGATGAAATGTTACCACATTGTTTTGTATTTATTATATAGTTAAGGCCAGTTGTTGCATTGTCACGTAAAAATTCAAAGAATCATTAACTTGACTTCTGATTGTATTAGATATATCTGTATGTCTAAAATCTGCAATGATACAAGTAGAGCCAGCAAACCTGTTTGTATGTTCTGTCATCTGTATACGCTTCGAGTTCCTAGAGATTCAGCATTAGTAGTGAAAACTAAAAGGCATTTGACATGTTGATGTGTAGGTGCACGCTATTCCGCTGCGCTCCTCGTGGGTGATGACTTGTGCATATGCACCGTCTGGAAACTATGTGGCCTGTGGAGGCTTGGATAACATTTGCTCCATCTACAACCTGAAGACCCGCGAGGGGAACGTGCGCGTCAGCCGTGAGCTGGCTGGACACACAGGTAACACTTTGCACAAAACCGTGTGTTTGGAGTGAGCTGCGCTCTCCTTCCTGCTGTTTAACTGCTGTCTTCACACAGGTTATCTGTCCTGCTGCCGCTTCGTGGATGATAACCAGATTGCCCCCAGCTCAGGCGACACCTCCTGGTGAGTTTTGGGTACCGCCTCAGAACAAGCCACTCTGTTCCCATGACCTTCTCACTGATAACATACACTTAACCCACAGGTTGAAACTCTTTCGGTGTGACATTTCACTTTCTAACTGTGCTTTGTTTTTAAAGGGGTCATATGATGCTGCTGAAAAGAACATTATTTTGTGTATTTGGTGTAATGAAATGTGTTTATGCGGTTTAAGGTTCAAAAAACACATTATTTTCCACATACTGTACATTATTGTTTCTCCTCTATGCCCTGCCTTTCTGAAACGCGTCGATTTTTACAAAGCTCATCGGGCTGAAAAAGAATGGTGTACTCTGATTGGCCAGCTATCCAGTGTGTTGTGATTGGCCGAATACCTCAAGCATGAGACGGAAATGTTACGGCCCTTACCATACTGTTGATGCCCTGTCTGGCCAGAGCGACGAGACAAAAACATTAAAACCCATTATAAACAAGGCATTTGTTGCATCCAGTGGGGA